TGAAAACGAAAAGGTTTAGATCCACGCGAATTACTTCAACCTCTTTGGCATGCTAAAATATTATCATTTAACAGTTTAATAAGCTACCCAGACAGCAAGTATATACTGGTTCGATAGTGGCTAGCCAATGCCAACAAATTCTTTAAAAGCCCCATAAAGTGCCGTTCTTGAATTGCCAGTTCTGGGAAGCCGTAACAGGGCTATTACCGAGCCTTTATAAAATTGTCTAAGCTGGATAGCCGCAAAAAAACCATTAATGGTCCAAGAAAGTTTTACCGAGGCAGAAAAACAGACATTGGGCCGATACTGGCCCAGTGGTAAAATCAAATTAAAAATGATATAAACACGTTTACTGCGCAGAATTTTGCAGAATTGTTGTTACATTACAAATAACATAATGATCATGATATATTAACATTGTTTACATCAAACATTAACCTTTAAATTGGTTTAATGTTTAAATTATATTTTTTTCACCAAGTTAAAACTGGGTTAAGAAACTTAAAACCTAAGTTACAACTTAGGTTCTTAATTTAAATTTATACTTAATCTTAATTTTAAACTTAATTTTAATTTATTGAGAAAAATATATCGAGATATAACACTCAAATTATATTACAGAAAGTTTTGAATATGACAACAAAAAGATAATAAAATAAAGAAAAGTTGTTCAAATAATCTACGCAGTAATATACATACATTTTATGTATTTCCTTTTTTATCAAACCAACATTTCTTTCAGCTTTTTTCATCAATATCAATCATTCTTCAGTTACCATAAATTGTGTTTTATGTTTTTTTAACTAACGTTTGTCAAAAAAACATAAAACATAATTTATGGTAACTGAAAAATGATTGATATTGATAAAAAAAAAACTGATAGAAATGTTGGTTTGATAGAAAATGAAATATATAAAATGTATGTATATTATTGTGTAGATTACTTAAACAATTTTTTCATTTTATTATTTTTTTGTTGTCATATTCATAACTTTTCTGTAATATAATTTAAGTGTTATATCTCGATATATTTTTCTCAACAAATTAAAAAAACACTATTTGGATAGCTGCTAGAATAATAACATCAATAAAAGCAGTTTATCACTGTTAATAGTCTTATTTAAAAATACTCTCTCTTGCATATATATATATATATATATATATATATATATATATATATATATATATATATATATATATATATATATATATATATATATATATATATATATATATATATATATATATATATATATATATTTGTAAAGAATCTTTACATTTATGTAGAGCTTTTTTGTCGTCCTTGTACAATAATTGTATGTGTATGTGCGTATGCATGTGTGGGTATATGTATGCGTATGTGATTTAATGTGTGTATATGTGTATGTATGTGTGTTAACATGTGTGCATATAAATACATAGATATAAACATATATATATATATTATATATATATATATATATATATATATATATATATATATATATATTTGTATGTGTTTATGTGTATGTGTGGATGTTCCCACTCGCAACGATGATATGATCTAGACACAACCCATTAGGTGGTATAAATAGCTGTCTTGTGCGCAAAAAACGATCATAAATCAAGTCAATAAACAAGAAGAAATAGGTGAATAACAATATTTTGTTTTATACAAAATCAAAAAAAGAGTTGCTATGGATAAAAATTGGTACTGAATCATTTTAAACAAAGATTAGATATAGATACCAAAGTTTTTTTTGTAATCCAAGAACAAATTAGGAATCTACTAAAAAATAATTTTTGAAATAATGATTTTTTCATTTTTAATTACTGGTTTCGTTACCTGGTTTCTACTGATGTAATTGACACTTCCACTAATTTACATGAAAGGGCTCAACAAGTCCAAAGTTTTACAATTTGCAATCATCAGCAATTTCATAAAAAAAAAAATTTGAAACTGTGACTAAGTGAGGACAATAACAAAAAGCGCATTTTTTTTAAAAAATTTAATGAAAATAAAATATTATATTATATATAAACTTTTATTTTGCTGATTTAACAGTTACAATTTTCATAAAATCATGTAAAAAATACATAGCGGCGTAAACATAAACATGATAAATAACGTTTTTTATAATTTTTTATATTTTTTTATTTTATAATATGTATTTACTGTTCTAATCAGTGAGGGACTCAAAGAAGGTAAGGATGATGTGTTTAACATCACAACGTTTTCATAGAGCTCCTATAGTCACTCATTATAAATACACTTTAATTTTTAAAAATAAAATAAAAATTCAATAAAAACAAAGCTCATATGTTTTTAGTGTAACAAATTAAAAAAACAAAAAATATTAAAAACAAGAAAAATAAGAAGAAGAAAAAATTAAAAAATACTGTAAACAAATACTGTAAGCTTTAAAATGTATGTCAGGAATTAAAAAGATGCACTTTAGTTTCCTTTAATATTTTTATTTTGGAAATGATTCAATATTGATGGGCCACGGTTTGACCACGGTTTCTAATTAAAAAATTTGACTGATGTGATTTAATTTTCTCTAAGTGATAGTTGTATTTTGTATTTGAACGTAAATTATATTTTTCAGAAAATGATCTCAAGAAAATATCTGAAAAAACACTAGGTAGGAGATTGTTCTTATACTTATAAATAAAAATTAATATCTGTAATGTGTTAAGCTTCTCAATATATTTTAAATGCACTTTTTTTAAAGATCTATTGATGTATATTTTAGGTACTTTAAAATTATTTTTTCATTGAAGAATCCTTGAAAAAAATTTGGAACTTTTAACAAACTTCAGCATTAACATTATAAAAACAAAGTAGTACTAATAACTCGCGAAAGCGAATTATTTTTAAACAAAAGAATTGAGCTAAGTTATGGGTTCTACAGGGTTAAAGGTCAATCCTACTCTAAAAAAAAAACACGTGGATAAGATGGACCAGAGACTCTTTTAAACATTACCACCAAAAAATGCTTCATAACGCCATTTTTCATGTTCGTCAAATGTCCAGTTTTGAAGCATTTCTGCCCCACTGTGCGACGTTTCCATGACAAACTTTCTTCTAGAAAATAAACGTTTGATTTTTTTTTTAAATAATTGTTTTATTAATTTGGTCTGGGTTTTAGAGGCACATCATTACTTTTACTAAGTTTATAAAATAAAACTAATTTAATTTTTTCTACGTTCAATAAGAGTCTGTACATATAAATCACTATATTTAGATTAATTTTTCATTAAATATGTAACAAATAACTAATTGTGTTTATATTTGTTAGAATAAAAAAAATTGGAGCTGTCTAATAAAAAATATAACATTTAAATTAAAACATGTATTGCAAAGTATAAATCATGCGCTAAAAATAATAAAAAAGTAGCTTTTGGTTAACAGTGATCTGTCAAAAAAGCTTTTGACAGATTGAGATTATAAACTCTAAATGTAAAACATTTATTAATAAATGCATCTTCTACATGATTAATCAGTTCAATTACTGCATGGTTAATTGAATTTTTTTAAAGCCAAATTGTTTGCTATACAGCGTGTTGATATTTTTATTTTGTAGGATTATATTTTACTTTATACCCATAAATAATTATATAGTTTCTTGTGCATGATACGCTCAAGTAATTTTGAGAAGCAAGGTGAGAAGCAAGATGAGAAGCAAGGTGAGAAGCAAGGTGAGAAGCAAAGTGAGAAGCAAGGTGAGAAGCAAGGTGAGAAGCAAGGTGAGAAGCAAGGTGAGAAGCAAGGTAAGAAGCAAGGTGAGAAGCAAGGTGAGAAGCAAGGTGAGAAGCAAGGTGAGAAGCAAGGTGAGAAGCAAGATAAGAAGGAAAATAGTCTGTAATTTGAAGCGTTAGTTTCTTCACCAGATTTAAAGATTGGAGTGATCATGGCAAATTTTAGTTTTTCTGGCACAACACCCAAGTTTAGTAAAAATGTTCATTCACAGAAGTATCAACAAATAAAGCTGCTAAAATCTGCAAGCAGTTGTCACACAATATGTCACATGATAACATCAATGTTTTTACTTTACCTCTAGCTTCAAAGCTCTAGATGAATAAAACTTGTGAAATTCAATAAAGATAACTCTTGCTGATGCATTATTATATAGATATATATTATAGAGCACAATCTGTAATATGGTTTGACCGTCGGTAAAGCACTACACTTCTTGTAGTGTCCGGTGTGCTCCTGACGGGAAAAATTTAAGTTGTTTTCTTTTGATAAGAATAAACCGCAATTTATAAGTTATTAACACCATGTTCTGAAATTATCTTCTTGGCGATGGATAAAGATCTTTATCCCCGGGAGATTTCTAGATTTCACGGTTATTGATACCATGTTCTGGAATTCTCCATTAAGTGATGAATGAAAATCTTCATTTACGAAGAATTCTAAAGATGCGGAGTTCCAAAAATATTTTCGGATTTAAATGTTACAAAAAAATTCTTTCTTCTTGGTTTTTCGCATCAAAGAGCCCCAAAAATCTAAAACAACTCATGACTTATTTTTGGGAATAAAAAGAACATATTTAGGGTAGAGGAATAACCAATTTTAAACCTGGAGTCCTTATTTATATCGATAACAAGGTACTCCAGGACTCCGGGATAAAGAACATTTGGTTCCAAGTTATTAAACTTCATAATTTTTTTTTGTTATTAAAGATCATAAGTCACTTAAAAATTATAAAAGTAGTCATACAACGCCGGAGTTTTTTTTTTTGAGACTCCGCATTCCTAATACTTAGCAATATTTCAGAAAAGTTTACATTTGCATTTGATCTTTGTTTAAATTTTTTTATTAGTTTTTTTGTTTCTAAAATATAGTTTTTAACTTTTTGTAATGAATAAATATAACTTTTTAATCAAAATGTAATGAATAAATATCATATTTTATTTAAAATTTATAAAAAATTAACCTCGAAATTTAATCAGAGTTCTTTGTTTGTTTTGAGATTTTTTATCAAAATGACATTTATTATCAAAATGACAGAAAATAGCTCAAATTGTTCTTTTGAGGACATTAAATTATAAGAAATAATTATTTTTTTAATACATATCTTTATTTTTTGAAAAAACTCAAATGCTTGTATCAAATTGCAACGGACCGCTAAAGTTGTGGACCTTGTGGAGTACCTTGTCCTATAGTATTAATTCCTACGTAAACTTTGATAAGTAACCATAAAAAAAACTTTTAGCAACAACAATATTCAAATACTTGGGAAATGTTTTCAAGTTATTGTTTGGTATGCAAATTTTAACTAAAAAATTTAAAAATTGTCTTGAAGAATTGTTTCTTTGCAGGTTAAGTTTGTTCTGTGACTTTTTTTGTTTTCAAGTCTGGTTCGTTCTTTGACTTTTTTGCTTGCAATGTACCGTATACTTTTGGAAAAGCAAGACAAAATATAAAAGCATATCCATATCCGTTTGTAGTAATCAATGTTACCAACGTCTGAAACAATGCATTAACCTGGTTAATTGACAAAATATATGCTACAGTTATGATACATTGTGACATGCCAAAAAAATACAAGTGCTTTAGTTCGTTAAGGTAGTACTTGGAATCTCTCTCTGAAAAAGCTAAGACTGTGGCTGTCAAAAGCAACATTAATGGGAATATTATTGCTAATAATGAGTAGACAGAACGGTCAACTGCGCATATTTTTGTGATTTCATAATCTGTATTTACAATGCTCGCATATGTCGTTCTTTTTCTTAGCGTTAAAAGTAATAAAAATAATTCAAATGATAGTAGAAAAAAAATAAACAAACTTAAGAGAATTGTTCCTTTTCTTGTGACTAACTTGGCAAAAAAACGATGAACTGATAAATTCATTCCAAATATTATCAAACTGTATGACGTTAACATTAAAAAAATATATATATATCGAGCAAGACAAATAGTTTTCGAAGGTTGCGCTAATTCTATTAATGTGTAAAAAAAAGATAAAGATGACACAATGCACAAAATGTAGAAAAACAATTCTACTCTATATTGCAAAATAATTTTTTTTTTTGTTGTCAAAAATATAAGTGATAAAGCAAACATTAAAAAAACACCAATACTGCTAAGAATTATGCCGAAAATCCCAATGGGATGAGAATATGAAACATAGAATCTTCTTTTTTGAACACATTTTATGTTGTCTGTAGTGTTATGGTCGTCAGGACAACGAGAGCAGTTTTTAGCATTAAATGAATAACTGATTTCTGAGACTGAACATCTTTTACAAGTCCAACAACAATGTTGTTCTCCTTCAACCTTATACCCAGGTTGACAATCATTGTTGCAAATAGAGACTGGTAAACTATAGCGAGACCAAGACGGCCATTTCAATTTTTCTAAACTTATATTGAGTAACATTTTTTGTGAATGCCATCTGCCTACATCAACAAATGCTGCAGTTGATCCATTTAAATGAACCTGTTCGATTGAATATTGGGAAAATCTTGGATTATGATCAGAATCGAACTCAAATAATTGGCCAGATGTTGTATTAAAGCTAACGTTTTTTAATGTTTCTAAAATTTCTGCTGGTAAAATGTTTGCACGACATTGTGTTTTATTACAAGCAGTGTAATGAAGACTGTGACCAATTGCAGTTATGGCATTTATCAAATAGTTTACTTGGTTTAAGTTTTGCTTGTATAAGGTAGTAATAATATTATCAATTGAAACATTACAACTTTCATTTGTTGTAGAACTACCTAATAAATATTTGCTATCAACAGACTTTCTTTTAACATTACATTTAAACTCATTATTTATTAGTGTGTTTAGCCAAATATCGCAGTTATATTCACTTTTGACAGTGTCGGCAATATATAATTTAAATGATGGTATTTCATTACCATATTTGAGTGATACTGACAGTAGAGATTCTAGTTGTTTTTTAGGAACATCAGCTGTAAGAATTTCTGGGTTCCAAGCTTCACTTGTAAACCATAGACGTGTGATATTTCTATGCTCTGCCTCTCTTAGTACGTATTCTCCCATCCCCTTTGCATAATTAAACATAATAACAACTTTTGCTTTTTCAAAATTTTGTAATTTAGTTACAATGTCTTGGGCATGCTTTTGCATTTGAGTGGGTGAATTTATAAGCGGCATGTAAACATCTTGTACTACACAAAAGTTTTCTTCTGTAACTCTTTTCCTTAAAGTGTTTAAAGCTATTTTGCCGTAATCATCATCGGATCCAATGGCAAAAATGTATTTCCAATTGAATTTTTTTAAAGTTGCAACAATTATTTCTATTTGAACATCATCGGGCTGTATAGTACGAAAAAACGATTTAAACCGTTTTCTATTAGAAAGAAGAGGCGACGATGCCCCATCACTTATTTGAGGTATGTTATGAAGGCTCAACAAACTAGCAAAGTTGATAGTTGTAAATGAGTAATATTCCCCTACAACAGCTACAACATTACTACTATTTAAGCCACAACCATTTTTTCCATTCAGTTTGCAGTAGTTTTGGCGATAGTTTTTTACAATGTCTATAGCGTGACCCATTGTTTTTGGCATATTGAAACAAGCATCGTTAAATATATAACCAACTGAAATGTCGGGCAACATTTTATGAGACTGCTTTATTTCTTTAATTGCGTACTTAACAGCAAGTACTCTAAGCAGCCCATCATAAGATATTCTTGTACAATTATCGGAATTTGAGATTGAGAAAACACAACGAATTATATAATCTCCATTTTTTCTTGATTCGATATTAAGTAATTTGTCTTGGTTTGTTATATTGAATGACTCAACACAAGTTTGAGAACTTATTAAAATTTTATTAATTAATATTAAAACAAGTTGATACAAAAAATTCATGTTGAAGAGTTAAAAACTTTTTCTTGAAATAAAGCTTTTAACTCTTAATGCTTTTGTTTCATAGCGATGTTGACAATCAGTTTTATCGGACTTAGCAGATCAAATTTGATTGGACAGGTTTGTACAAACTTATTCTGATCCATCTTAAACAACTTAAAATTCATATTGCAACAGTTTGTTTAAGTTACTAAATTTATACAGTTTTTTAGAGTTTTCAGCTGTCCACCTTAAACCATTTCCAACAAAAAAGTCAGCCAAACTATGTTTTCAGCTTACGTTGAGAAACAAGATAATTCTTAGCTAATTCATATTTTCAGTTTCGAAGTAAGTTTAATACTTTAATAATTTCGGTCTGTAAAGTTAATGGATTTCGCTGAGCAAGATCAACCAATGATAAGATATTTATATGTCGTCTTTGAGTAAATATCCTGACAATATTACATTTTAATTTAAATAAAGATAAAAAATCAGTTATGTAAACAATTCATTTAACAATAAAACAATTTCATATTACCGTACTTAGTGGAAATGAGTTAAAAAAACCTTAAATTAAAAAAATAAAATTTACTCCAACAAATTAGTTCTAAATTGAATTAACATTGAAATTAGTTCTAAATTGAAAAAACATTGAGATTATTTTAAAGACTAACAAAATAATAGAAGTTAATTGTATATATATAACTTAACTGTCATATTTTCATATATCACCTATTGTCACCTAATGAATTGTTAACTAAATAAGCGTTTTTTATTATTTGTTAGGTAAACAAAATTGTACAATGGTTATAAGCTGCAACAATGTTTATTACATTACACATAAAACTTTTTAAAAGTTTTCAACATTTAACAGAAACAATAGCTACTTTATAAATGAATAAACGACTTTCTGTAAGAATCAAAAAAACTTTTTTGGTGGCCTCCTCCAAAATTGTTGTTTTTTAAATATGTTATTATTCATACGAGAAGCTCGATTTTAAAATTTTTTTAAAAATTATTATTATTTATTGGTTCTCTAAATATTAGATTTGAAAGTTTGACGAGATTTTTAAAAGTTTTTTTTTTTACTTTAAAACTTTAAGTTTCACAAAATAGAAGAAAAAACTTTTCAATAGATATCTCACTTGGTTACTGTTTATTGGCTAGTTTTAGACCTAAAATTGATAGTAGTAGTGTGATAATAATAGATGAATAGAAATTTTTGCCTTGTTTTAATATAATGCTTCAAAAGTACGTGAAAATTGGTATTTTTTTATTTTTGATCTTCATTTTTATCCAAATCTGTGAGTATTGCATATTTATTATTATTATTATTATTATTATTGCTATTATTATTATTACTAGCTGAATTGACCCGTAAAAATACGGGTCTTTGTAAGTCTATTCTACACAAACTTTTTCCCTTATTTTCTTAATCTAGCTGTCCGTATCGGTAAATACAGGTCTTTTCTTCTACTTCTATATTTATCTATTCCACGCTAATCATTTCTTTACTTGTTCCTTATTTACTTCAATATTTTTTAGTAAACGGTGGAAAAAAATTCATTAAAAAAATTTGCTTTGAGAGCAAAAAAAAACTTTAACATACGCACTTTTTCCGCATACGTATATAGCTTATTAAACCCCGTTTATTTATTTTTTTTTTTTTAAATTCTGAACTAAACTACTTCCTACTTTTAGACCAGCCATGCAGTAGCGTAGCAAAGGGCCCGCAGGGCCCGCAGCCGCGGGGAGGCCCAGAGTTATTAGGGGCTCAAGGCAACAAAGAAAAAATTTAAAAAAAAGTGTCAGTACAATAAATAACATGCGTATATCATTAGTTTGTGTTTTAGATTACCGTTTTTTTATTTTCATGTATAACTTATTTGTCTAGAAGGAAGGTAAAGGCAAGGTGGTGAAGTAATTTAGGGGCCCGGATTAAATTTTTGCGGGGGTGGGGGGCCAATTTTTTGTCGCTACGCTACTGCAGCCATGGACCATGGTTTATGGTCGCGTCCTAGCCATTTTCAATAGTTACTATTTACTATATTTATTGTTATTATATGCTTAGTTTTGAATAATAACGGTCTTTTATAGTTACCTTTGTATTAGACGGAAACGGTAATGCAATTCTTTAAAACGTTAGTCACTTAAAGCGTCAAAAGTCATGCAAAAAAATAAATTATAAATTTTGTGGTTTAAAAGTTGAAAAACTAATAATAATATAATAAAAGGTTTGGTAATTTTTAAACGTTATTATTTAGCTCTTACTTATGGTATTTATTTTGTTTTCATTTTACATTTTTAAAAAAATGTTGAAGCACCTAACTACATGCATAACTTTGATAGCTCACAAGTTAAGTGCGCAGTCACATTTGCACATAACACAAAATATTCAGATTATGTGTTTCCAGAATAATTAAAAAAGCTAGACAACACAACCTAGCTCAACACTTGTAACACCGCTTGGCACTAAACGCTGCCAAGTAACACCACAATTTAGTAACACCGCTTGGCATTAAGTGCCAAGTAACACCACTAATTAGTAACACCGCTTGGCTAGCAACACCACTAATTAGTAGCACCGCTTCTACCAGTGGTGTCATATGGGGCTTGTCTCCTCCATCTAAAGGAGGGATCATCTCCCCTATATTGACACCACCGGTAGAAAGCTCTTTGAGATATCGGACCTGGGTGCTGGGAGCAATATCGCAGGAAATCTTGATGCGCTGCTAAAAAACAAAAACAAAAAAAGAAATAAATTTGAATACAATACTGCACAAAACAACCAATAAAAATATTATTTAAAACTATTTAGACTTTAAAAAAAAAAAGTTATGACAAAAAAAAATAAAAAAAAAAGTAATGTAAAAATAAGGATAAATTAAATTTCATATATACCTACACAAATACACATAACACCCATAAAACTGCATAAGCATGCAAAACAGATTACCTGATGGTCCTGCAGATATTGTTGCTATTATAGAAATAAATAAAAAATATGAACTAACACATATATTAAACAGTTATGTAGTTGCATACAAACATGAAAAAAGTAATGTTTAGGTTTCAATACACATAACACTGCATAAGTATGGAAAAACTGCATAAGTATGGAAAACACATTACCTGGTGGTACTGCAGTTGATACTGTTGCTATTACGGAAATAAATAAAAAAGTATATAAACAAACACATATTAAACAGTTATGTAATTGCATACAAACACGAAAAAAGTATTGTTTAAGTTCCAATACACATAACACTCATAAAACTGCATAAGTATGCAAAACATATTACCTGATGGTACTGCAGATGATATTGATGCTATTGTGAAAGTAAAAAAAAAAAGTGTATAAAGTAACATATGTTATACATTTATGTAATTGATAACAAACATGAAAAAAGTAATGTTTAAGTTTTATTACACATAAAACCCATAAAACTGCATAAGTATGCTAAACAGATTACCTGATATTATTGCTTGAGGTGTTAATGTAGAGACAAAAAAAAATAAAGTGATGTGCAAAATAAGATATGCAATCTTTAAGTTTTAATACACATAACACTCATAAAACTGCATAAGTATGCAAAACATAATACCTGATGGTACTGCAGATGATATTGATGCTATTGTAAAGGTAAAAAAAAATGTATAAAGTAACATATGTTGTACATTTATGTAATTGATAACAAACATGAAAAAAGTAATGTTTAAGTTTTAATACACATAACACTCATAAAACTGCATAAGTATGCAAAACACATTACCTGATGGCACTGCAGATGATATTGATGCTATTGTAAAAGTAAAAAAAAAAGTGTATAAAGTAACATGTGTTAAACATTTATGTAATTGCATGAAAACATGAAAAAAAAAAAAATTTAAGTTTTAATACACATAAAACCCATAAAACTGCATAAGTATGCTAAACAGATTACCTGATATTATTGCTTGAGGTGTTAATGTAGAGACAAAAAAAAAAATAAAGTAATCTGTAAATTAAGATATGCTATCTTTAAGTTTTAACACACATAACACTCTTAAAACTGCATAAGAATGCAAAACACATTACCAGATGGTACTGCAGATGACGCTATAGTGGATGTAAAAAATATATTTACATAAACTAACATATACTAATCAATTAAACAGTTTATTTAAAGTGATAAAACCGCACACAAACATCAAAAAAAGTGTAATAAAATTAAACAAAATGAAACATTAGTGAACTTTGCTTACCAATTGAATTTTCTAATTTTTCTAAATAGAATAAAAAAAAACTCATTAACATTAAGAAAGAAACTAACATGCAGAATATTATAATATACATATAATATACGAAGCAAAACAAACCAAAAAAAAAAAAAAGAAAAAAGTTCCAAAAAAAAAAGAAAAAATTAAAATAAATAAGAACATTATAGTAATTTACTTAGCTGTTGAAGTATAAGCCCTATAAAAAAAATGCTAAAAATTGTATCAAAAAAGCTAAAAGACCAAAGAGTAGACCTTTTTTTTTTTGAAAGTAAAATGCTATATCTTTATCTATAATACACAAATGAAATATAATCAAATTCTGTTTACCCATTGAATGTTCTACTTTTTCTAAATAAAATGAAAAACTTATAAACATTAAAATAAACTAACTTGCCATATATAGAATAACTTTATGTTAAATAAATATGTAGTAAAAAAATATAAAGCATGACAACAACAATAACAAATTGCTTACATAGATTCTCAACTGAATCTTCTAATTTTTCTAAATAAAATAAATTTGAAAGTTACAAAAGTCACTTGCTGACTGACAAACTGTCACAACTGACAAAAGTCAGTTGCTAAATAACTTTAAAAAAACTAAAAAAGCATAACTATATTTGCACACAAAAAAAAAAAAACAACAACAACAAAAAAATTCCTGACTTAGCTTGTCCATTACTTCCGCTAAACATTAAAAAAAAGTTATAATTAACAAATTGCTGAAATTGGTGAAATATATATCTTTGTAACATATCCTTCTCATACAAAGTTAGCTTACTTGGCAAGAGCTCTTCGGCTCTGATCTCTTGAACATCTAATATATATATAGACATAATTAATTTTTAAAATATTCACTTTTTCAATTAAACATATAAGATTTGTCTTAAATTATAAAACTGTTGCACAGTTTTATAATTTAACACATTCAGTAAATGACAAAAAGTTTCATTTTACGTGAAAGTTTAGTAGTTAAAAGACTTAAAAGTCTATTTTAGCTTAAACACGTTTTATAAAATTATAGCTTAAACACCTTAAAGCTTCTATGTGTTTTTAAGGTTTACTGCTTTACAAAAACATCAATCAAAATAGCGGAATAAACAAAAACTGAGTTTTGGGTCCACCCTCTTAAAGTTCTAAAAATTAATTTATATATTTTTTAACTTTAGTTAAATTTTAGGGTGGTGTGCTTGATTCACGGGGTTAGGGGAGGGCAGCATATCTTGGTTGATTTCAATTAAAAGCGGCTAAAATAAATCATCGTTTTATTCACACGTGAATCAAGTACAGCGTTTTTATGTTTTTAGAAATTTTAAAAAACGTTTTAAAAAATTCTCTCCGTTTGGTTTGTTATAGTATATTAATGCTTTATTTTTATGTAATGCGTATAACATCTATATGCATTTAAACTTGTTTTTCTTTGTTTTCTAGAAAACAGGATAAGATTTAAAAAAAAAATTGTGTATGCAAAAGGTTTTGAACCCAAGCGAAGCACTTCAATTGCTTTGGAATGCTATATCATCTTTTTACACTATTTAATAAACAGAAAACTTATTAAACTTTAAAAAACAACATTTAATGCTTTAAAATAAAGAGATATTGTCGCAATGAAATTTTTAAGTAAAAATAAATCGGTAGAATTTGATGTCATCTACTTCATAATAATACTGATTGATAATTAAAGAACTTAAAGTTTACATATTTAGATAATTGAATAGACTTTCGTTCACATTGTTAAAAAACAAATCATAACGGATTGTGGTTCCGAAAAAAAAGGTTAATACACTACCATCTGTAATTATTGGAAAGGTCATATTTTTTAATATCAAATATATCAAAGTTTGGCGAAAAAGTGAAAACAATGTCTACCTGAATTATATGTTATCTTCCTATTTATTAGGTTTACAAATAAAACTTCCCTGATTAGTTTATAATTTATTCAAAACCCTGATTAGCTTTTAATTTATTTGCATATTAATCACCCTTAACAACAATAACCACCATAAATATATTCTTTGCATTCTACTTAACGACTTATCTAATTAGTCTATTTTGTCACTAAGTTTTTTCAAAAAAAAAAAATACACATGTATTAACTGTATATCAATTTATTTATCTATTTAATTTAATATATATATAATATATAATTTAATATATATAATTTAATCTAATTAATATAATTGAAATACTACTAATCAATTTACTGTTTTTTTCTATAGCATTGTTAAAAATGGTTATATTCTGAAAGGTAAAGAAATTTATTGAAAAGAAAGTTGCACAAAAGAAAAAAAAAACTAAATAAAAGTTACTTGTTTCAAAAAACGTTTTACGAAGAGTTTTTCCAAACAATTTTATTTTTAATTGCGTTTTTTTTTTTAATTACGTCATAAGCATATTAAGGCGTTTTGAAAAACAGTTGCTGTATATATTTATAGTAAAAAAGTTAATGTAGCAAAATAAACTTTTAATTGCCAAAAGAAAGTTTTAAAGTTTTATCTAGCTACAGGCTTTTTTTTTTTTTTTTGCCTCCACAGCAGCATCTTCTGAAGTAGCAGGGCTGTCTTGTTAAGTTTTTTCTTTATTAAGTTTCAGACAACTTTTTTTTCAGACCATCCGCAGCTTATTAGGACTAATTACATGAGCACATTAATAACATAAGTGTCTCAATTATCATAGATACGCAACATATTTTTTCTCCTAGTGATGTTTTTTTTTTTTTTAAATGTTTTATGAAGTTTTAGCTTTCTTAAAATCTTTTCTTTTGTGAGTGCATAACATCGTTACATATGTTTGTATATAATCTTTATAAAACTTCGAAAGTATTTTGTATTTTAAAATAATTAAAAAAATTAAAAAAAATAGCCGCCATTGGTAGGAGTCGAACCTCTAGCTCCTTGTTCAGAAGTTCGCCGCCTTATCCACTCGAGCTACACCGGCATATCATTATGTGTAGATTTTATAATAATGTAGTAATTTTTTTAAGGAAAAAATTGTTAGATCAAAATTAAGGAGAGGTTGACACAATGTAATTTTCAAGTAAAAATCAAACTGTAAAACATAATAAATGTTTCAGTATGTTTTAACATTTGCTTTAACCTTACTTAGTTTAAAATTTACGTACGTTAGATATTCGTTCATGTATTCTTATAGTGCTGCGACTCTTTCTTGCCAATACCTCGGTTGCAATGGCTGCCAAGGGTTTCGTGTCAAATACGCTCCAAGGGACACTACTATTAAGTTTGGCAATATTATATAGAAGATTATTATTATTGCTATTATTATTATTATTATTATTATTATTATTATTATTATTATTATTGTTATTATTATTATTATTATTAATCTTTATATAGTATAATACCTAAAATTGAAGAGCTTAGTCCTAAAAGTACTTAAGTCACAAAATAAATATTTTGTGAAAATCTACTTTGATCAAAAAAATAACGCTTTATTAAGCATTGACTTAAGTGACTTAAGTACTCTTAGTACTAAATTACTTAAATTACTTTAAATTTAAAGTAAGAATTTAAAATGATATAAAATGGCTGATCAAAGTACATTTTCTAAAAATGTTTTTTTTGTGACTTAAGTACTTTTAGCGCTAAACGTTTCGATTAGAGTACTTAAGTCTCAAAAAAAATATTTTAAGAAAATGTACTCTGATCAGCCATTTTAAATCATATTAAATTCTCACTTTAAATTTAAAATAATTTAATTAATTTAGTGCTATGAGTACTTATAAGTCAACGCTTAATAAAGCGTTATTTCTCTGGTCAAGGTAGATTTTCTCAAAACATTTATTTTGTGACTTAAGTGCTTTTAGCACTACGCTCTTCAATTAGAAATAAATGCAAGAGAAAAAAGGGAAGTTGCAAAATCCAACTTTTTCGTGACCTCATGATGGCTAAAGCCCTGGGTTTACAGTAAAATTTCATTTTCAAAAATTGGTATTGACCCTTAATCTACTTTAGTAATTACTAATAGTTATTGGCATAGTCTATTATATTTACGGCCGTATATCCGGTCGTTTGAGGGAAAATTAAGATAGTTTTTATCCCTGAATGGCTGCAATAAATACTTAGTTTTTAAAAAACAACTTGAAATTTAATTTTTAACTTATAATTCTTTATTATAGAAGTAAAAGTTGGTGTTTATTATAATATTAAAAGTAAAGATAAACGAATCAAGTATTTAAATACATTTTGAGTATCAAAGGTGTTAAAGATTTAAATTCATTTGTATAATATTTGTCGGAAATTTGTAGTCAAAACTAAAATATCAAAGTTAATTAAATGTCACAAAAATGGTTGAAATAAATGTACATGTTATTTATCCATACTATATCTATAATATTTATAATATGTTTTCATGTATATTTTAACGTTCTAATAAGAAAAGTGCCTAGAAATAATTCAAGCAAATCAAATAGTAGGTAAATTTTATAAAACTATTAAAGCAAAGGCAATATTGTGGAAATTAGCATACTGTTTAAATCCATAATATAATTCTACATTTGAGTTTAAGGTTGACATAAGATTGAATTTAAGGTTGACATACTTTTTTTTTTTTTTTTTTTTGTTATGTATGTATTTAAGTGCTCCCAGAAATCCTTACGGTCTTATCATAAAGCACCGCGGGTGAGCATTTAACAGGAAGTTAACGCCTCCTTCCGCACCAATGTCGCTTGTTGGGCTAAAGCTGGCGTCGAACCTCGGACCTCTGGGTTCTGAGCCAGAACTCTAACCACTGCGCCACGGCTGTTCAAATTTTCTGAAAAAAATTTCACTATTATTAGGACCCATCAGAATTTTTGAGTCCAAGAGGAAGCACAAGAACTCATATAATTAATATAATAAAGTTAAGTCAATAAAAATAGTTAATATTTGGAATAACTTGCCTTCTGACGTCGTGAACGCCAAAAATATAAATAGCTTCAAAATTAAACTTAACTCTATCAACTTTGAAAAATAGTGTTCCGGCTAACTGGTTTTTGTTTTATAACTGTGATTTTATAAATAATTGTAATATATATTTTAAATTATCTAGCATATGTATTATGTGATTGTAGGGCACGTTGTCAGAGTCCTTCATATTTTATGGACCTGCGTGTCCTTTAGAACATGTATCACTGTTCTAATAAATTTTAATCTAATCTAATCTAACTCATCTAAATCCAAAAATATTTTTTTTTTACTTTTCTATTATAATTATTAGAACACCATTCGCGTATATTTATTTTCAAACTTTTTTTTTTTTAAAACCATTCCTTTGATAGTTTTTATGGATTTAAAACAATGTTTAAAATTGGTATCAACAAAAAGTAAAAAAAAACAGTGTAAATTTGCTCAAAATAAAAAACATTATATCACAAACATACAAACATTTCATAATAGCTGGAAACCAACTGTCTAAAAAAATTTGAATCGTAAGAGGAGGAGAAGTGATCATCTACACAAAGAAAAGCCTCGATTAATCTTTCACCAAAATTGACAAACTCAACCGCACCACTATTGAGCAAGTTTGGATCAAATTAAAATTTCACGA